AAGGGATCAATAAACCCCCAAAATATTGGGGGAATTTGGCGGGCCCGGTGGGTGGGGGCTCAGGGGTGTTTTTTGGAGGATGGGAGCTGTAAAATCTCTTCCCCTGGTGGTTTTGGGTGGGTTTAGTGCGTTTTTCCTTACAGCCCAGAGGGGAGAGTGAAATATTTGAAATATAGATTAATATAGACTGTAGGATATATAGACTGCTGGCCGTGCAGGGTTGTTGGATGTATAGGGCTGCTGGATGTGTGGGATTGCAGGATATATGAATTCCTGGATATAATGAGTTGCTGGATATATAGGGTTACTGGATATATAGGGCTTGGGTATTTAGGATTGCTGGATATATAGGGCTGCTGGATGTATATTGCGGGATATATGAATTCCTGGATATAATGAGTTGCTGGATATATAGGGTTACTGGATATATAGGGTTACTGGATATATAAGGCTGCTGGATGTGTGGGATTGCTGAGTATGTAGGGCTGCTGGCTATATAGGGTTGTTGGATGTACAGCTCGCTGGATATATAGGGTTGGAGGGTATATAAGATGTGGGTGTTTAGGGCTGCTGAGTGTTTAGGGTTGCCAGATGTATAGATCTGGATATATGGGATCACAGAATATATAAGTTGCTGGCTGTAACGTGTTGCTGGATATATGGGGTTAATGGATATGCAGGTTGCTGGTTATACGGGGCTGCTGGATGTATAAGATACTGATTATATAAGGCTGTTGAATATATAAGATTGCTGGGTATATAGGGTTGCTGATTATATAAAGTTGCTGGATACGTAGAGCTGTTGAATATATAGGATGGCTGGAGATATATAGGGCTGCCGGATGTACAGGGTTGTTAGATGTCTAAGATTGCTGGATGTATGGGTTGCTGGTTATATGGGATTGCTGGATATATAGGGTTGGTGAATATATAGGATTCTTGGCTGTGTAGGCGGGGTTACGGCTACGGGGGGTCCCCGAAAACTCGCCGGGGGGCTGGTGGTGAAGCAGAGCGGGGCTTCTGGCGGCGTAAATCAGGGATATATAGGGTTGGTGAATATATAGGATTGCTGGCTGTGTAGGCTGCTGGTTATGTGGGATTGCTGGATGTATAGGGCTGCTGCATATGTAGGGTTGTGGAATATATGGGATTCCTGGATATATAGGGTTGCTGCATATATGGGGTTGTGGAATATATGGGATTCCTGGATGTATAGGGCTGCTGCATACGTAGTGTTGTGGAATATATGGGATTGCTGGATGTATAGGGCTGCTGCATACATAGGGTTGTGGAATATATGGGATTGCTGGATGTATAGTGCTCTTAGATGTACAAGAGTGCTGAGTGTGCAGGTTGCTGGATCTATGGGTCACTGGATCTATAGGGCACCGGGCTCCGTGGGGCCGCCGGCGGGGTCTGCGGGGGATCTGTGTCCATCCCTCCCCACCGGCTGCCGGGGCCGGGGGTCCCTCCGTGTCCCCCCCGTGGGGTGTGAAGGGGCCTCCGGGGGCCCGGTGGTGGGCTGCGGGGGCTGGTTGGGGGGCCCCCCGCGTCCGTCGGTCCGTCCGTCCGTCCCTACGTGCGCGCGGCGCTGGGGCTAATGGCTTCTCCAGCTGGGTTTGCAGGGGGCGGGGAGGGCCGGGGCGGCTGAGGCTGGAACAACTCGTTTCGTCTTTTCCTCCCTCCCTTGGACGGGTCCCACCGTCGGCGCCTCCGGCTTCGCCTCCCGCCCCGCACACGTAAGTGACGCCGGGTCACGGCCGGACCCGAATCCGGCACCGTGCCCCCCCGACGGGGCTCCCCCCCCCCGGGTTATAAAGGGACTATTCCCAGGGAGCGCAGCCCAGGCTGGAACCCCTCCAAGCCAGCCTCGGCGTGTGTGGTTATTTTTCATCTTATTTTCTTTTTTTTTCCCCTCCTTTCCCTCTGTTTAAGACATTTAAACCAAGGAAAATTTTTTTTTTTTTTTTTAAAAAAAAGGAGAAAAACCAGATTTTTAAAAAATAAACATTTTCATCCTCG